CGCGGATTATCGCGCACTCGACCCCATGGTGCCTAGACCTGTTGGGGACCAGCTTTGACCAACATGTGCCTGATGTTCAAGTCCTTGAGCCCCCGGGAGCCAGTGACAATTCGATGGTCATGGCGAGCTTAGAACTGCCACGGCAGTTTACTCCTCCACTGGAGCCAGCCTTCAACTACTGAAAGACGGACTTTAATGGCCTCACTCGAGCCGCAAGCCCGATGGACTTGTCACTAACAAAGGACTCATCAGTTAGAGCTTGTTGGTCTAACATAAAAAGGGGAGTAAAATCATTGTGCGCCCGACTTGTGCCCCTAAAATATCAGAAACCTGGGCCAGTCAAGCCACGCTGGTTTGACAAGGAGTATGGCAAACTGGCTGGACGGCGATGCCGGCTATGGAATAAATTCGTGCAATCTGGTATTGCGGAAGATTCCGAGGCGTAGGAAAGGCAATGAAATGCCTGCAACAGCGCAAAAACAAGCAAACGCCGATGTTTCGAAGAGCGGGCTTCAACCGCAGCAAAAACTGCTCCCAAGTGGATCATTGCTAACGTGAAGCGACGCCTGAAGGTGACAGGTGATGTGTCTGTGTTGGAGGGATTATACAGATAGCCCCTAGTTTCCAGCACTGAGCATGCTACCGCATTGGTGGCGCTTTTCGCTTCCGTGTTTGCAGATAACCATGCATCCGTACCGAGTTTGACGCTTATCGCCCCTACCGAGCTGGACAGCCTGGATTGTAGCGTTGATGATGTGCGGAAATTGCTCGCCAGCCTTAACGGTACCAAGCATGCTGGGCCTGATGGGTTCCGTCCGCCGATCTTCAAATCGCTATCCACTATCATCTCCTTCGGTGACGGCTGTTAAACAGATCGTTGTCCGCCGGTTCATTACCGAACGACTGGAAATGCTTAGTGGTGAAAACGATTCCAGAAGACGGCGATCCGAACAGGCTAGACAACTACTGGTCCATATGGCTGATCTCTGTTTTGGCTGAGACACTCGAGAAGATCTTGAAGCATGGTCTACTGCAGCATCTCGAGTAGAAAAGCATCTTGACGCCCGCGCAGCAGGGTTTTATGAAAGGTCGATCACGCAGCCCAAACCTACTACTCTCGAGGCACCAATGGTTGCAAGCGCTAAAGCAAGCGAACTCGGTTGACGTCATTTACATCTACTTCAGTAAAGCGTATGACCAGGTGAACCATGAGAGAGTCCTACGGAAGCTGACTAAGTGCGGTGTTGGTGGCTCACTACATCAGTAGATCAGTGACTTCCTTAATAGTCGGACGTGGAGGGTGCAGGTGGACAAACACCTGACCGAGTGTTATCCCTGGACCAGTGGGGTCCCGCAGGGCATAGTCCTTGGACCCATATTGTTCCTGATCCATATCAACGATTCGCCTCAGCTTCTCATTTCCGCTTGCGCGTTGTTTGCAGATGACCTTATGGTATGGAGGGTAATTGAGGCGCCCGACGACTGCGACCTGCTTCAGCGCAACCTTGACAGTTTCTCTATGTGCTCAGCAAAGGTCACCCTTACACTCAGCCCGGTCAAGTCGGTATTCATGAGCCTGAGCATGGGCGGTAATGGCCGAGTCTACAATCTGGCCGGTCAAGAGTTACACACATCGCCATCCGTGATAGATCTCGGAGTACTCTCACGAGGCGATGTGAAACCGTTTGAAAACACAAACAGGCTTTACCAAAACGGACTGCGCGTGCTCTGGGCGCTCAAACACGGTTTCTGCACTTGGTCCGAAGAAGTCGCCACCCGCCTCTTCTCTTCTATCATCAAACCAATACCAGAGTACAGCTCACCCGCCTACTGGTCGCTCACCCCGGGGGAAGGTGCAAACGATTGAGCGGGTACAGCATGTAGCCGGTTCATGAGATGTGCCATATGAAGACCGATGCAAAAGACAAGGGTTGTGCACCCTGTCTTATTGTCGAATGCGAGTTGACCTTATCATGACGCACCGGATATTACATCTGGGCGAATACCCCATGTTGAGGCCGCTGCTTCATCTGCGCACACCAAGCAGCACACGAGGATATGGGTACAAGCTTGTCGTACCGGATTTGAAGCGAGTCGCTCACCTACTCTACTTCGAGCAGTGATGAATATTTGGAACAAACTACCTGCAGAAATAGTCGAAGCAAAGTCGGTGCCGGAGTTTAAGAAACTCCTGGACTCGCACATTACCGACTTGAGATTTCGGGAATAATCACCATAATAATAGATTTGCCTGAAAAATATTAGATGTAACTACAGAGGTAACTCTACTCGCTGCATTTTCTCAGTATTCTGTATTCAGTGCAGAGATCCAGTGGTTGACAGGACTACTGGTGAAACCACAGACCAGGGTCGCAGAGTTGTGCATGGAGTCGTTTGATGATGTTAATTCCCGCCCATTAACCCTGACTTATTATTTTTATTATGTTGATGACGCGAAACAGTGTCACTGGATCTATAGAACTTCGGTGCACGGATCATAACTGACTTGATTGAGCTGCGCTGAACACATGGACGTTAGCAGGGGACATAGTTTGGAAGAAAATGATCAACTCGACATAGGTGCCACAGTTTAAAAAATGTATCGCAGTGGTGGCAAATAATCCGCTTCCAAACCCCAACCGGCATACGTCAGCGTTTCTGATTAGATGGTCTCGCTAAGTACTTTCAGTATTGGGAAAATGAACACACCTCTACTGACCACAATGAGCTATAGCCATGGTTGTGAGCAATGCAGTGCCACGGCCCAGAGTTCAGCCTTGCCTGCTTTGCTTATGACCTAGAAAAACTATCTCGCTGTCTTCAATGGCGGTTGAGACATTGAGAAGCCAAATGCAACTCCAAGCTGAGCGCGGTGGCCGCCTCTGGGACGCATCCAACAAAGGTGATACAACGACACAGATATAATAATAATAATACTAATAATACAACAATACTAATACGTATATTTCTCTTGATGGGAGAAAATGTGTCTGTAGCAGCACAGATCAATCTGTACAGAAGAGTCCATGCTCTTGCATGGGTGACATGCATAGGTGGCGTATTGGGATATGCGTTTCATGTATTACCATTCTGGAGGATGGTTGAGGCCAAAACGTAGTTATCAAAACATTGGTGATTATATGTTTTTGGGCCCCTCTTGGAGGGGTTTTTCCCATTTGTATATAGAGCTTAGGGTAGATAGATCAAGGTAATTGGCGAGTCTGCTACTAAATGTTGCTACATTGTCACATGGCCTGAGTGTTATTGGTAGTTTATTCCACAGTTACCTATATCTGATCAGGAAGAAATTAGAGCGGACGTTCGTTCTAGCCTTCGGTATATTCAATGTAAAATCTTTGTTGCGAGGCGCTCGACTTGAGCAAGGTTGTAAATTGATTGTAGACAGATTGGAATAGGTCTTTTTGTGTAACATCTTGAAAAGCAGCTACAAGTTGTGGTTCAATCGTCAAATCCAAAGTGGTTCGAGATGAAGCTCATTGCAACGTTCTCGATAACTCATAGCAGAGTCTTTACGAAGTCGATGTTTGGTAAATGACCTCTGCAAGTTCTCCACAGCAATTTTGTCACTCTTTCTCATATTTCCGTATATTATGCTGCAGTATTCGAGGATGGGGCTCGTGAGTAGCTTTCAAAGTTCAACTCTAGTACGGGTTGTGTGTATTTTGTTTGAAATATTGACCATAGACTGTCTGGCACATACTACTTGGTATCGGGCTTGTTCGGAGGAATTGAAGGTAGTCGAGTATCTAATGATAAGATCTCGCGTGGATAACTGTGTAGGGACACGTTCATTGTTTTGGGTGACAGATCCTTCAGGGATGCAGCAGCCCTAAGACATGATGTTTGATTTCTTAGCCGAGAGGTTCATCACCCATGCGTAGCACCATGACTCAAGAGGATGTAAATCATCTTGAATGAGCAGTAATGTCCCGTGAAGCTCATCACACCGAAACTTAGAGACCAGTTTGAAACCGTCAGCAAATAAAAATGATGTAAACTGATCCACCACTACCAGCTGACGCTCCGTGTCGACGGGAACGGGTGTTACACTTGTTATGAAATAGTTTTCACACTTTGTCTATAAGGGCTGATACCAATATTACCCATCCAAAGTACCAGTGCACGAGTTTGTTTTGACTCCAACTGAACTCAATTCTCCTCGATTACTAACTTCTTTAGCCAGCAGAAATCCGAAACTGCTGATGCACAAAATGGTAATTGATAGGGTCGGTCGTGTACCTCTCCAGCAGAAAATAAAACAACAGAACTGGAGGGAAAACCTAATGCACTCCACATATCTGATTGGACTCGAGGGACAGATTTCTGAAAGGCGCCATCTGCGTACTCGCAGTGGCAGCTATGGAATCACCAGTAAGAATATTCAATACCTGCTCACGTTGCCTAGTGTTATCAAGTTGGATCAAAAGTTGCACAAATTCTGGTAAGCCCCGTAATGTGGTCCATTCCTAGGCACCAGTAGCCCATAGTTCCTTACCTATCCCATGTGTGTTTGCCTCCTTAGCCCTAACTCCCAATGGAAGTTAAGTGGCAACGGCTTCTTACCAAGGCTTATTGGCGCTCACTCAAATACCATCAAACAAGCTCCCTAGGTAACCAACTTAGTATCGTGGATCTCTCCAATTTGCATGCGCCTGGTAAGTTCGCTATCCAATTAATTGTGTTTCTCAACAGAAGCGAAATCGGTGGTTGCGTGAAATCATACTATGAATGTCGGGTCACCATAGGGTGGATGCACTTGAAACAGCTTCTGTCCACATACGATCTACCTCTTTAACTAACATAACGTTCCGTTGATATCACATTTTCACGGATAGCTAAAACGTCGTCGGCCTAACACCAGAAGTCCGGCGTATTTTGATCTCCCTAGCTGATGGCACAATTGTGTGGTACTGTCCCACCTATCAGTCAGTAACTTTTCCTTTGGGCACACATCAAGTAATAAGTCAACTTCAACTTACCAGGAACTGATTCGGCACAACTCCCCCACCGGCGACTTCGGTCTCTCCGCTGACCGTTGTGATTGTCATCCCTTGTGAACTAGCCATCGACTCACGTAGCGACAAGGTTTTTGTGATGTTCTGGCGTTCCAAGTCGACGGCAGCCGACGCTCGAGTCTGTGCTCCCGCTTCGGACACCCCAAGGAAGGTAAATGGCCCGGCTTCAGACGGCGTTTTCGTTGATCCTTGGACTGAAGCGTTTGGCGTGCGTTGTCGACGCAGTACGGTGGTCCCATTGATAACTGGTATGCGAAACAGGCGACGGTCGTTCACAGTGACTTTATAGAACGCAATGCCGACCGATTGTGAATAAACATCCAAGGTGCTTGGCAGTATTTCCCCTAGCAGGTCTTTAAGAAGTTTGCAGTTTCCTTGGTCGCGACCCAAGAAGTCATCTATCACCCGGGTTGGTTCGGGTAGATTCAGATTTTTACAGACAATATTCAGAAATGACCGATACGTCTCGTTATACGTCATAATGCTTCCGGATCGAGTAGTAGCATTCTACACCTGAAGAGTATGGGAAATTTCAAATTGTGGGTGGCAATCGATCAGTGTTAAGCTCTAGGCCTACGGGTGTGTAGTAGGTTTTACATCATCCATGACCGTCCCCTTCACAGCTTTCTAGGGTGAGATGGACGAGGTTTCATGTTATTTTAATGTTCCCCCCTCTTACCTGAAGTTCAAGTCCGCAGTGTTAGAGTCCTGCAATCGCGATCAAGTACAAAACGGAAAGTTTCAAAGTGTTCATAAATCATAGATTCCTTTAATTGGGTGCAGAAGGAAACATGAGACTTTCCAGAACCAGCAAGAGTGACGATATTACTGAAATACGTAAGATGCGTGTAGGACTCTGGATAGGTGGTTTCAACGAATGAGTGAAGTGAATGCTGTCAAAAATTAGCCGATCGGGTCAGGTTCCAAGGACGGCTTTGGATTCCGCTTATTTAACGGCCTGTTTCCTGCACCGGAATGCAACCAAGGCTTTCGGTACTTCAATGTCTCATTGGGTTCCCTTGCTTCTGTAACTAGAGGGAATCACGAACAAGGCAATCTCTGTACTTCCATGCATCACAAGAACTCAGCGACATGTTTCAATATCTGGCTAGATCTATTTTGAAAATTTCAACAGTATTACATTTTATCAGGGTAGAGGGAAACCTAATCCAACTGCAAATTACACGATTCTCAAAAATATTCACCTTTATATCCAGACTAAACCTGTGTTGGTGAAGCTGGTATCGCCGCAGATGGTTTTACGTAGCTAGTTCAAACAGATTTTTAGACTTGACACTAATGAATCCCTCCCTACATTTCGAACAGATCTATCAGGACCTCACTCAATCTGCGTCGTTCCATGGGTAACATTCCTAACCTCCTTTAGCGTTCATCATACAACTTTTCACTCCGGCCCTCAAACATCCTAGTCGCCAGTTTTGTACTTTATTCTATACAAGCAATATCCTGTCGGAGATGCCGCAGCCAAACTTGTACACAATATTCTAAGTGAGGTCGCACCACCGCATTATATAAGTGAGGAAGAATCTCAGACTGTTGCATAACGTTCTCTTGAGGGGTTGAATGGTTACTCTCGGCCCCCTGTTGGCAGCACGACCATACTTTACTGAAGGTTTGCAGTTCTTTGTCACATCAATACCTACTTCACGGGCTTCAGTAACACGATGAACAATGAATGTATACGGAAATACTAGTTCTTTAAACTATACCGGAAAATCGAGCCGTCCGACGCACAAATTTTCATTTGTTAAATTTGCACTATCTTGGGGATAGAAAACTTGACTTGGTGAATTAAATTTACGACAAATAGCTAATCCTGATCACAAACTCGACAGTCTTGCGAACAGTCAAATGGTAGAGTCAGCAGGATCTATGATTACGAGAAAGCCAATATGATGCAATTTGTTGTTTGTCTGAAAAAGCAGGACCGCGATGGTAGAAAGCGTCGAAGGACGCTTCGGAATGTACTTGTACCATATTAACTAGGTCAAACTGTGTGAATTGTCCCTCGGCTGAAGAGAGAACGAAGGTTCATTTGCAAGCTAGGAAACACTGACACAGTTGAACAATGGAACGGTGGATACATTAGAGTTTAAAAGTAATGCTCAACAAGTCTCATGAGATGATCAGCAAAAGAATCATAGAGACGAAAAAAATCGCCTCGGTAGGGTTCTCAAGATGTTCATAGAGAGGCATGCATAAGAGCGTCAACATTAAAAGTGAATGGAAATACTGCTGAGTGCAACATGTGTTTTGTTCCATCGTCTCCCGATGTAAACTGGTTATGTTGCGTTGTGCAGAGGGGTTGAGGCAATGTCAAGCCGTTTCTGAAGATAGATAACGTGGAGGCTGAAACAACGTAATAACGCAGAACATAGCATGGCTAGCACACAGGAAAATGGAACAAGGTCCGGCGACATTCTGGTCGGCTGTAGTGTGTGGCCACTTCATCGGATCTATTTGCAAGTACGCGGCCACCTAAGGAGTTAATTCCAGCAGAATACAGAAATAAAAAGAAAGCTGAGTGCAGTGGCTTTTGAACAGATTTTATCAAATCTCATTTTATTCCATCAGCTTGGACAATTGCATCAAAATCCGTTTCGCAATGAACACGAGAAGGAATTTTACAGTATTGGTATGGTAAAAGAATCCTAAAAGTAGATAAAGCAGCGTTTAGGTCAAATCTAATCACCCATTTTAGAAAGAAAGGTGATGGAAGAATCCAGCGCGTACGATGCATTTATTTGATGAAACCAGTCTGTTTACGACTGAATATTCAAGCGTTGTTGGTGTATTAAGCATTTTATTGACTTGACTTGAGTTCCCCGCCTTGGCAGACTTGAATGTTTAAATATTCCTTATCGCCCAGATACGTATCCGGCCAATCTGGAAAACCTTAATATGCCATCCTACTAGAAATTTTGGTATTTTAAGTATCCATGGAAACGGTGTAAATAGATCACTGACGATTCACGCTCAACCGTTTGTTCCACGGTCATGACACATTCAGTAGTTGCGAATGACTTAACAAGCGTAAAAGTATTGCCCATTAGTTAATTTCCGGTGGCCGGTGGGACTCTCTGGGACTCTGTTAACTTCCGATATAATTCCACGGGATGTACAGCTGTGCGGCTAATCGTACTCCCACAACGACAGAACAACAACAGATCATGGTGACGTGCTGGTATAGATTTGTTTTCCTATTTCGTTAGACTGCTGCTACCAAAAGAAATGCGGATGTTCTACGTGTGCCCTAAAGCTCGATGCACCTGAGTGTTGGCGAAATGTGGGTGAGTGAGATTTACTGTTTTATGTGAAGCTGCCGTTTGCACTAGTTGCAAAGTACCCAAGACAAAATGAACCGTAATCGCTTTCAGCTCATACGTGCTTTTGACACGTCAAAGAAATTGACCAGGGGTTCAAATTCCCTACAGGCCTTGTGAACTGGAAGCAGAGAGTGCGGAGATGATATCTGAGATTGGGGCAGCACTACACGTCTGCTGGTGGACTCGCACCAAACCGCAATCAGATCCCTCATGTATGAATTTGAAGTTGACGGGCTGCTAACAACTTGTCATGGAGTGTGAGGCATGAATCCAGTAATACCAAGTGAACATCCAGTGGCCCTAGCTTGGCGAAAGCTGCTGCTGTCACACTCGCTTCCGTAGCAGTCATCCTAGGAATACTGTAAACTGGCTTCCATGAACTTACCTGAGCTACAAATCAAGTGGACTGGTCACTACAGCAAGATTCATCTATCGAAGCAATATAGGCAATCCTAAAGGAGTATGGAAAATGATTGTGCGCAAGATCCGTACCCCTCAATTATCAGATGGTTGCACTAATGAAACTAAAATGGTTCGACAAGTATATTTTATTTGATTAAACATTGACGTGTACTAAGGAATAAATTCAGTCCGATGGGTTCTGCCGCCGGTTACGTGGTGTCATAATCATGGCTGATTCCACGCAACAGCACCAGTGTTCAAAAATCCCAGCCACAACGAAGACGACCCACAAGAGGATCATTCATTAAGTGACGCTGCACTTGAGGAGTACAGATGACGGAGCAATGTTAAAGGGTTCAGCCGGACAGTCCCTGACTTCCAGGAGGGACCATGCGTCGACACTTGTGGTGCACTTCAATTCCTTATTCGCAAATATTTAGGAGGCGGTACAGAGTTTGATTTGTGTAGGCCCTGCCCCTTTCGACAGAAGAATTACGGCATAGTAAATGCTCGCAAGATATTCATTGGTAATTGGCGGTGCTTCACATGCTATACCTAACGATTCGCATTTACTTGTCTGCTTCAAATCTGTGCGAATCATGTTCCACATTGAGATTGCGGGTCGCATTGTGGGTTTGGTAACATCCACCATTCAAACATGCTTCACTACTTATCGGTTTGACGCATGTCCTTGCAAACCATTGCTGGTCAGGTTTTAGACTAAGATGAGAACATTGCAGAATGCTGAACTGGAAAAACCAGGTTAACTTGCCAACAAAAGTAATTTGATGGCTTATCAGTTCGTCTTCATTTCTGAAGGAAGAAGTGATCGTTGGAGACAATGAGATTTACGATTAGCGAACCATTAGCAATTTGTAGGTCTGTTGAAAAATGCAAGACTTGATAAGGCGCAACCTTAACAGTTTATTTGTAACGAGTCATACCGAATAAAATATTCACCATACTTAATTGATTGTCACTTTCTATCTTTGTCTGCTATTCTATGTTGCTCTCATAAGTTGATCTCGCAGTCCACTGTTACGTTAATTCTGATGCCATTGATGTATTGCTTAGTTTTGAATAATTTTATATCCATGGAACCCGCAGTTGAAACACTTTAACAGGTAGACAGTATACTTGTCCAAGTGTAATTGCTTTCCAGGAAATTTCTGTTCCGTCTTTTAGATCTACTGGTGTTGACTCTTGCAAAACCCTTGCCTCTTAACAAATTCATAATCCGAACAAATGCATAACTCCCTGACAAGGTGCAAATGCCGCACAGCTACGTTTTGTCAGTCGTTGCATATATAGCATGATTTCTGCATGAATATAGTGTTTGCATCTAAGAACTACGTGGCAAACTTTACTATTGAGCCGTGAAACAAGTTAAAATTAGTTTCTGCTGCCGTTTGAATGCTATGGCATTTGACGCACTTCCAGTTGTTCAGTTGATTTAATTGTCCAAGCTGATGGAATAAAATGAGATTTGATAAAATCTGTTCAAAAGCCACTGCACTCAGCTTTCTTTTTATTTCTGTATTCTGCAGGAATTAACTCCTTAGGCGGCCGCGCACTTGCAAATAGATCCGATGAGCCTCCAGTAGCTGCTAGACATTGTTCCGGACTCATTTATGCAGAAGTAACATCTCATATTTTCACCGTTTAATTGTTACGAATTCTTATTTTGCTAAGATGGTTTATGTGAAGGTAACATTCAGTCTACAACAGCGTTGTCACTAACCCTTTTATCATTTGCTGGGATAACATTAAGCAACTGTCGAAGCG